TCATCATTAACGTCTTTATCCGGTGTATCTTTTATTATCTTTTCTCTACGGCGGCGTATCCTAAGGTAATAAACCCAGCCATCGTCTTTGGAGCCTATGGAGTACTGATGAAAGATTTCGGCTAAACCGAGGTTGAGGCCTGCTTGGCGGTTTAGCTCGGCTATACCCATTATTATCCGGTATGTATTGGTGGATAGCTGGGTTGGGCATAACCTGGTTTGCCTAAGAAATTCACAAATTAAAGGCTGGACTGGGAACCTTAGTCCGGTCTCTATTATTGAAAGCAAGGTGAAAGGTACAAAGCCTGCTTCGCCCCACGGTATGATGTCCTTCTTGGCTAGGGTAAGGTGTACATCGTTTGGAATGCCATAATCCCTTCGGAATTCGGCCATGCCACCAGGGGTCTCTACCAAATATCTATACTTACCCATTTGTTGTATAATTTACGAATAAGTTATATCGGTGCAAAAATTGTGCTCAGTAGCTCGGCTGAGCGCACGCAGGAGTGCCTGGGTAACCTAAGTCTGCAAAGTAGAAAACAAAGGGGTTAAGCACAGATCGTTGGACCGTGCTACAAATTAAAAACAAGGTAAATGAGCCCTACTTCGGCTTTCTGGGCAGGTTCTGTCTTGGTTCGGCAAAATACTTGGTAGTTCGGTTTGAACTTTGGGTACGCAAGATCGGTTTTTGTTATCTCGGGTTGAATAGTGGGTTTTTTACTTCGGTAAAACCACTAGGGGCAGCTTTCTGAGATTGGTTTAGAAACTTAGAAAGCTGGCTTAGCCCCAAAGGCTTAGCTCGGTTGAAGATCGTGGTTCCTAGCCTAATGTGTTCAAACTTTGTTCGGTGATTTTATTTCGGCTACAGTGAATCAGGAGTTGGTGATTTGTTAAAACTTCTACAAGTTCTAGTTCGGTTATTGTCTAAAGTGATCTACCAATATTTGGACAAACAGTATCCTAGTTCGGTTGCAATGTGATTTTGGATCTAAGACTAAGTTTTCTACAGAAGTTTATACATGCATGGGTTCAGCTAATGTTTTTTCATAAAAGTACAAAAGCGAACCAGAAATGGACAAAATGTTTGCAAAAAAACATACAAAACAAGATATACAGATGCGAAAGCAAAACAGAGCAAGAAGGATAGGCTGGCTTACCAGATTGAAGAAGAGGAGACTGAAGATAGGAAAGTGGCAGCAAAATCTGTCTTCGGAAGCAACGGAAGAACAGCAAGAGCACAGAGAGAGAAGATGAAGAATAGTAAAGGTGAATGGTTCAAAGGAAGGATGATTGTTTTGTGGAAAGAGAGAGAGGGCGGGAACTGTTCAAAAATTGCGAAACACGAAGACGGCGTTGACAGCTGCCTTCTACGAATGGGAGCGTGCCACGTGTATACGGAAAGGGAAGCGTTACAGTCGTGATTGAAGAGACGTTTTAACCGGACAAAGTAAAGCCCGAAGTAAAATTAGCTCGGCTTAAGGGCCCAAGAGTTTTTGGCTCGGCTGGAGAGGCTAAAGGGTTTTTAGCTCGGCTGGAAAGGCTTAATAAACTCTAGCTCGGCCAGTAGACTGGTAATCCCAATCATGCTGCGCAGATGGAATTAAGGGGCAATTGAGAGGGTAATTTTTGGGAAAAATTGGGCCAAGCTGCGAGTTGGGCTTTGTGGCACAAAGTGCGAAGGACTAAGTAAAAAGGCCGTAATGATTACTCTGGCCCAATTAAAATGCAAAAGGTTACTCCGGCCCAGGAGAGGCAAGGTTACTCCGGCCTAGGAGAAACAAAGTTACTCCGGCCAGGGAGGTAAAGTTACTTCGGCTCAGGAATTATAAAGATACTTCGGTCCAGGAACGACTTAGAGTTATGCCGGTCTTTGAGTCATACCGGCCGAAAGTCATTGGTTCGGTCTAAGACCGTACCATTGGTTGTACATGAGAAAACCGAGATAAGGATAGAGTTAAAGGTGGAACCGAACTAAGAATAGTTCGGTTTACTCAGTGGCTCTGCATAGCCAAGCTTATTTCGGTCATATAGTAGTTCGGCCAAAGTAAAAATCATCCCGCTTGGTTTAAGCAGTGGGGGAGGGTGTAAAAGGATAAGCATTATCCTTAGGAGTATGAATCCTAGGAGGACTCTGCATGGAGGAATAAAAGTCCTACTAGGATTGTGCCACAGAAAACTTATAAAAGCTCACAAACATCACCTTGGAAGAGGTAATAGAACACAACATAATTTTGCTTTCTGAGAACATTGAGCTTTGTCTATTTTGTCAAGTTTTCTGACTTAAGCATTGGAGAGGTTTCCGGCACACACCCGCCGGCTAGCTCACGTTTGTGTTTTCAGGTGATAAAGCGACGTCGTATGAAGGAGCGTGGACTTAGTCAACAGGATTATACGAGAAGGTGTATTTCTTTCCCGTACAGATACTTTCCCACTTTTCCTTGAATTTAAATTTTCACCCATTTTAGGAACCATCCAAATTTTCATAACCATTATTATGTTATGATTTTTATTATTTTTATTATTTTTTACTTTAAATTCCTTCAATTCGACATACCAATAAAAATAAAAATAAAAACTTTGAGGGACAATTAAAAAAAAAATCTCAAAGTTTGAACATGTAATAAAATAAATCTTGAATTTTTAATTTTATTAATTGAAACACTAATCTTTTGATTTGTTTTCAATTTGACCATTTGCCTATTTTTGTTAAGTAAAATCGAAGAAAAAAAATGATATTTTAGTTATTAAACTCAATGTCAATATACATAAAATGTCTAAAATCCGTTTTTTCATTGAGTTTAATGACTAAAATATTTATTTTTTTATCAATTTTACTTGACCGAAATAGACAAATGTTTAGATTGAAAACATATCAAAAATTTATGATTTAAATTGATAAAATTAAAAAATCACGATTTATTTTATCAGAAGGCTCAAATCCTAAGGTCTTTTTCTTGTAATTACTATAGGAAGTGATACTAGGCTTGTGGAGCTCATCATGCATTTAATTTTGATGATATAAATAATTCATTTTTGTATGATTTTATGTAGATAATCTATATAAAAAATTGAATTAATTTGATGTTTATTAATACGTAATTTTATCATATTTTGGAACAAGGGTGTACTAAGTCCTACTTTTTTAAAATATTTCCCAAAAAAAAAAAATCTTCATAATGGTGAATTCTATCCTAATTTTATCATTCTTATTTAATATGAATAACAATTTTATAAATAATTTTAATTTACTAAAAAGTACATTTCATAATTGTACAAATTATAAATATTATATTAAACAAAATCATAAACAACAATTAAATTGAAAGAACTATGATATAAAATTCATCATTTTCTGTTGCTTGAAAATATGATTTTTTTTATTTTATTTTATTTTATGATAAGCAATTCAAAAGACAAAATTTTATTAAAATTCTATCAATGGAGCTATGAAAAATAATATGGTCATGATTTCATATATTTTTCAATGCGTGAGTTAATGGATAAACCTTATCCTTATGCTTTTTAATTTCAATAATTAAAACTGATTTTATTATAAAATTGAAATAAATTTAAAATATTTATGAAATTATCATTCATATTAAATGAGAAGGGTAAATTTAGAATAAAATCTATACTATATGGGGAATTAAACCTTTTGGAAACAATTTATAAAAAAATAGGACTTAGTTCCATAGTGAAACTTCATAAGATTCAATGATAATCTGCAAAGCAAAATAACACTTAATAGTAATTTTTTATTTTAAAAATTATACTTTCCATCCATCATTACAAAAAAAATAATAATAATAATAATAATAGTAATAAATAAATTTCCCAAAACTAATAAAATCATGTAACTATTAACATCAGATCAATTTTAAGTTTTTTATTTTATAGATGATCTACACAAATTCTTGCAAAATGAATTATTTAGATTGTTAGAGGGAGATTCATGGTAAGCCTTGGAGCCTCCAGCACCACCCTCACAATGGACTAGAGAGAATTCTCTAAAAATAAATAAACAAATGACGACATAAATTACGGAATTTTGATTTTAAATTTTTATGCTGTGTTACAAGTTCTACACCTTCTTGATGCTCATACAATTAATAATTTCTGCAGATGAACAACCACAGCAATCATATCATGTGTAATATTCATATCAATTTCTCCTCAATCAATTCCAGATGTGCAATTCTCATCACTTTCCTTTCCATGGTGTCTTTGCTCATTAATTTCAACATGGCCACTACTGACAATGTGACCAGTATGATCAAATGCATAGAGACAGAAAGGGAAGCACTTTTTGCCTTCAAACAAGGCCTCAAAGATCCTTCGAATAGGCTTTCTTCTTGGACAGGCAATGGTTGCTGCCAATGGAGTGGTGTTCAATGCGACGAGACATCTGGACATGTCACCCTACTTGATTTGAGAAACCCATTTCCATCCATCAATTCTGCGATTGCTGCGAGGAATCAAGGTAACTACGACACAACATATGGGAGGTCATGTTTTGGCGGTGATATTAACTCTTCTTTGCTTGACTTGAAATATTTGGAGTGCTTGGATCTAAGCTCAAATAACTTTACGGGATTTCCAAGATTTGAAGAATGGCTTTCCAAGATTTCTGGTCAACTCACTTATTTGGAACTGTCTAACAGCCAAATCAAAGGGAAGCTTCCAAAGAAGTTAGAATCTCCAATATTAGATGTTATTGACTTGAGTTATAATCACTTTGAGGGTCCACTGTCGCTTTGGTCAACCAATGCAACTTACTTTTTTCTGCAGAGCAACAATTTTTCAAGATCTATACCATCAAATATTGACAAACTAATGCCGCAATTGCAATATTTGTTTCTCTCAAAGAACCTTCTGAATGGAACAATCCCCTCATCCATCTATACCATGAATAGCTTGATACAACTTTCCCTTAGGACAAACCAATTATTCGGGGAGCTCCCATAATGTTGGAATATGTCACAAATCTTGAAGGTCATAGACATGGCAAACAACAATCTCTTCGATAGTATTCCAAGGTCAATGGGGGTCATTAGTACTCTCTCTATGTTGATTTTGAGCAATAACAACCTAGAGGGTGAAATTCCTTCTTCTTTGTAGAATAGTTCATTTCGAGTATTGATCTCGGAGGAAATAGACTATTTGGAAAGTTACCCTCATGGATAGAGGAGACTATAACTGGACTTTGGATGCTACGGTTGCGATGAAACTCTTTTAGCGGAATCATCCCACAACAATGGTGCAATCTTCCATATCTTCACATCTTAGATCTTGCAAACAACAACATTTCAGGGGCTATTCCCAATTGTTTACATGATTTAACTTCATTGGTTTATGATGAAAGTAGTATGGCAGCCACATTGTTCGGCGAAAAGCGTTATGCGGAGCAAACAACTCTGATGGACAAAGGTGGAGAACGTGAATATGGCAATAATCTTATATATATATATATATATATCAATATTATTGATCTTTCTCGAAACAATCTAATTGGTGAAATCCCTGAAGTTATCACAAGCCTCATTCAATTAATAGCCTTAAATTTTTCGTGGAATCAATTAACAGGCAGCATCCCAAAGAAGATTGGAAACATTACAGGATTGGAAAGACTCGATCTTTCAAACAACAATCTTTCAGGACCCATTCCAAAAAGCATCTCATCTTTGAACTTTTTGAGTCACCTGAATCTATCTCACAATAACTTGTCAGAAAGAATCCTATCAAGAAACCAACTCCAAACACTCGATGATTCATCTATTTATGCAGACAACCCTTTATTGTGTGGGTTTCTTCTTCCCACCAAGTGCCCAGGCGATGAAGATCATACATCTAATTCATCTACTTCTGGTGGAGGAGGCTCAGAAGACAATGGTGCTAAGAATGATAACGAAATGCTCTGGTTCTATGTTAGCATGGGCTCTGGATTCCTTGTGGGACTTTGTGGTGTTTGCTTCACTTTATGGATCAAAGAGTCATGGAGACAAGTTTATTTTCGATTTGTAGGGATAGCATAGCTATTGTTTATTTTCCTATGTTGGCTATTGTGATAAGGTTTGTAAGCTACATATGTTTGCTATATTTATTAATAAACTTGTTTGTGTTGTCACTTATGCTTTGGAAACAGAGACATAACTATTGTTTATTTTACTGTGTTAGCTGTTGTGATAAGGTATGTAAACTACATATGATTAGCAGCAATGTTTGCTGCTGAGCTTGTTATGTTGTCACCTAAGCTTTTTGAACAGAGGAGATTCAAGTTTATTTGACATTTGAGGACTCTTTATAAATTTTTACATTGTAATTATATATTTAAAATTCACTTCTTTCTTTTTCTTTTTACTCTTTTTCTTTTGCCCTTTTTAGGACACAAAATTATTAATTAAATTTCATATTCAAGTTTTTGTTAACACATCATTCACCAAGATTTGAAAGACAATTTATATTTTTAGAATTGATTTTTTTCCCTTTTTTTTTTTTTTGAGGGGGGGAAGGGGGGGAGGATCCCTCCTGTCTGAACTGGAGGGTACTGTTTGGGTACGTAGAGCCCATCACGGGCCCATTTTAATTATCCGAACCGTTCATTTTGTCGAATATTTCGTGTATTTCATTCACACAAAAAAATTGGGTCTATCCAATAACTGTAGTTCAATTTTTCACTAAAAAAATAGACAACGATTGTGTTTTTAAAAATAAACCATTTTTTTTTAGTGACAAATGCAATAAATTTAACAAGTTACACTTATCGAATCATCGACCTAATTTTTTTGGTCTTTTTTTAGAATTTTTATTTTATACATAGAAAGCGCGGGTAGAATATAATGATGACTGATGATAGCTTAATGGATTATTAGGCCAACTTTGTAACGCCCGAAATAATCCAACATATATATAATACATCAACCCACATCTACTAAATAATAATGGCAAATCTCAAACCTTTACATCATTAGTCAACAAGGTTATTGCAAAAGTTCCACATGTGATTTATACATTCAACGGTATGAAAGACACATGAATCTATAGCATGTGAAGCATCTAATCTCAAAAGTAAATAAAATGCCCTCATGGGCTTACAACTTCCAAGGCTTAAACCCAGTTACACAAAAGTGGCCTCTCGAACCCATACATGAATAGCCTTTGGCTAGCAAAATAAATTACAACAAAATAGAGTCATCTACTCTTCACAAAATATATCCACGCCCTCAATTCGGCAGGATCACTACATCTTTTCCTACACCAAAATCCCATAGGGGTGAGCGCAAAGCCCAATAGAGAATCCTAACAAAGTATATACAGTTATGCAATTTTCCAATGTTAAATGCAAATGCCATGCAATACCATTTTTAAATAAATATTTCATTTCATGCTCTTCTTGAAAATCATCATGTTTTAACAACAATTTGCAATCTCAACAATTTCAAAACTTCCAATTTTAAACAATAGGGGCAGTAAATACGACTCAAGTAATCCCTTGATTAGTGTCTGCAAGTAGGCTCAACTAGCACTACCAAGAACCCCACTTTACCAGTTGCTAACTAGAAGGGAAGTGGTACTTCATCCGCGCTTATTTTTAATCTTTCACCCCGGACACTCAGGCCAACTTATCAATTTTATCTACACCTCCTATCCGAACTTACCTACGTATTTATCCCTTAAACATTTCCATAGTTCTCATTACAATATAATCTTTTCTCGAAGTAATTATTTCCAACTCAATTCAAGATGCGCACTAATGGTAATAAATTGAATGAGAATATGATGCAATAATTAATATCTCTTAACATTTCTCTATTCTTCCTCCCTCTAATGCCATTTCACAAAAATAACCACATGTTCAACCGATGCTATCAACACATAGAAATAACTTCTCATCATGCACAATTCCTAGCATTTTAGTCATTTCAAAACTATATGTAATTTTTTGAACATCAATTTCCAAGATTTCAATTCCCATAATCCATGGTGCTCAACAATTATCATCTCACAACTATACATGTTCATGCATTTAACAATAGTTTGAAAATAAATCTGCAACTCTCATATATCAAGAAGATAACCATTTTTCTTACCATATTATGAAATCTACACTCATTCATTCTTTTCACAAGAAAAGAAAGAAAACCATAGGCTTTTCCATATTTTCAAAAAAAAAAACCCAATCTCTAGGGTTCTTCATTAAAACCAAAACATTTCCTCATTTCCTTGGTGAAACCCCACCAAAATCATCTTTCGTAAGTTAATGAAAGAGAAACCCTCAAGCATTTACAAAAAAAAAAAAATTAGATTTAAACCCACTTTTGTAAAATCTCTACATTTTGAACCACAAAATCAAAGCAATGTAATAACTTCAAGAAGACCCTTAAAAATGCAACATCATAGAAAAACATGTATATATAACTCAAGGAAATCTCTACCTCAAGGTTGGATGAAGAAGAAGAAGAGGTCAAACCCTAGGAATCAAAGGTTGTAGATAGTTGATCTCCACCGTACAAAGTGAGGTTCTTGCTTTGCTCTCCAAGTTTTGTGAAAGAAGATGGATCAAAGCCCCATGGATTGTAAGAAATCAAAATTTTTGGGTGTTTAGTGAAGGTTTTTAGAGAGAAAGAGGAGCAAAATGAATTTTAGAGTGAGAGAGAAATGTCAAAAAGTGATACACATTCAGCCCAAAAGAGGAAAAAGATAGGGTTTTTCGGACTGAGCCCGTCCCGCACGTGCGGCACTCCTTCTCCGCACTTGCCTCCGCACCTACATATTAGACTGTGTGAAACCCAAACAACCCCTGAATTCCGCACATGCGAGGCCCTGCACGTGCCGCCCTGGTTCTCCAACCCAGAATCTTTCTCCGTACAATTCTAGGCACTTCGGACCTGGTCTCGCACTCTCCGGAATAAGTGAAAATCAACACCAAATAAGCGAAAACAAGAATTTATTCGAGAGGAACCTCCGAACACCACAACCCAAATGAATAACAAGGCTTCAAGTCAACCCGGCACCCCACAAGACAAACCCAAAGTTTAAATGAAGGAAAGCGAGACGAGTAACGTACCCAGCCATCACAAACTTCCATGTCCCGAATGATAAATTTGATTGTGTGACATATAAAGTGTTCAGGCATTGGCCAGAAACCCAAGAAAGCTTTGGAAAATAATTTGAGTGGTGAGATCTATGATTTTTGATGGGTTCTCATATTAAATTTATCAAAACAATGTCTTGATCAAATGAGTCTTTAAGTTTCTCATGTGGAACAATGGCCTTTGCTAGACATAATCATAATCTTTATATAGTTTAGGGAAGAAAAAAACTGCTGGCTTTTGAGTACTTTGACATATATGGTCAATTTGGCACCTGACCTGGAGGGCGAAATTTCGCGTTCCTTGCAAAATTGTTCATTAAAGAGCATTGATCTCGGAGGAAACAAACTATCTGGAAAGTTGCCCTCATGGTTAGGAGAGACTATAAGTGAACTGTGGATGCTACAATTGCAATCAAACTCTTTTAACAGAATCATCCCTCAGCAATGGTGCAATTTTCCAAATCTTCACATCTTAGATCTTGTAGAGAACAATATTTCAGGGTTACCCCTACCTCTTTACACAATTTAACTTCATTGGTTTATGATAATCGCAGTTTTTTAGTCTTGTCCCCTTCATAGTCCAAGTAACTTTTGTGTAGAGAACTTGAATATGGCAGTATTTTTGACCATGTTAATGTCATTGATCTTTCTCCAAACAATCTAATGGATGAAATTCCCGAAGATATCACAAGGCTCATTGAGTTAGGAACCTTAAATTTTTCATGGAATCAGCTAACAGGAAACATCCCTGAGAAAATTGAAAGCTTAAGATTGTTGGAAACACTTGATCTTTCAAGCAACAATCTTTCTAGACCAATTCCATAGAGCATCGCATCTTTAACTTTTTTGAATCACTTGAATTTGTCTCACAATAACTTCTCAGGAAGAATCCGATCAGGAAACCAACTCCAAGCACTCGATGATTCATCTATTTATTCAAACAACCCTTTATTGTGTAGGTTTCTTCTTTCCACCAAATGCCTGGGCGATGAAGATCATACATCTAATTCATCTACTTTTGATGGAGGCGGCTTAAAAGACAGTGGTGTTGAGAATGATAATAAAATGCTTTGGTTCTATATTAGCATGGAATTTGGGTTCCTTTTGGGACTTTGTGGTGTTTGCTTCACTTTATGGATCAAAGAGTCATGGAGAAAAGCTTATTTTTAGTTTGTAAGGATATAGCATAGTTGTTGTTTATTTCCTAAACTTGTAAAATAATTTGAGACATTTTATAATTTTTACATTGTATTTTTAAAAAAAAAAAAAAAAACCACTTTTTAAGGAACAAAATTTGTAATTAAATTTCATTCACGTGGAGAAAGACAATTTATATTGTTAAAATTAATTGATGCTATGCAACAATAAGAGACTATACAAAACTAATCACAGCACAATGTTGCATAAGTAATTCTTCTCTTACATTTCATCTGCTTATGTGCGCTTTTTATTTTGATAGAGAAAGAAATAAAATGATGAATTTTTTTTTATTTTACCAAGAAAAATGCATAATGATGACTACTTTTTGTTTGTTTATGTTCACTTTTATTTTGATAGAGAAAGAAATAAAATGATGATTTTTTTTTTTTCAATTTTTACTAACAGATGCATAATGATGTCTACTTTTTGTTTGCATAATAACAAATAATTTTATTTTTTTAAAGTGGACACCATCAACAAATTTTATAAAATCTTATTCATTTATGTTTTTTTTGTATTCAAGGTTTGATTCCTAGCATTATTGCTTTGAATTTTGGCTCGATCTGTTTTTTGAAGAAAAAAAATGGAAAAACTTTACTCTTTTTTTGGTTTGGTCTATGTACAAATTATCTATGAAGTTTTAAGCACATGGGTCCCTAAATTTTTGAATTAAGAAAAATCATAATGGCTCACCTAAATTGAAGCCTTCACAACCAATCATCGTGATCTTTTGTTTGAAAAAAAATAAAGATTAAAAATACATTTGCCGTAGAGAACATGATAATTCAAAACTTTTAAATGCCTATAATCTGATTTTTCTTTCTAATCTCTTGTTGTTCAAATAAATAATCATTAACAATTGGGATGTTGCAAAATTCCCTTTTCATCTCAAAGGGTTGTACTTTGTTTCAACTGAATCATTTGTATGTATGAGGACATAATTTTTGAATAACAACACGTGGCCGAGGTGTCACCGAAGTGCCAACCGAGGTGCCACGTGTCCTGGTTATGACGCTGAGATCATCTCGACTAGGCCGAGGTTATCTGCGAAGATACCGGAATTCGAGATAAGCAGATAAAGGACAAGAGTCCTAGAATGAGAGAAGACTTCAGTTTGGATAAAGATAAGACTCTTAGAGAGTTTATCCCAATCCTACTGGGAGTCCAAGAGTAGCAGTAATCCTGAGTCCATTGAAGTTAGACTTCTATTGGGACTAGGATTGTGTTGGCTATAAAAGAGAGGCACCCCCATGGGTCTAAGGTATGTCTTTTATGCTTTGTCTAGTGAGTTAAGCACTTTTGGTTATCTTTGAAAGAAATTTTACTAACTTGATCGTCGAAGTGCCCCCGGGTGGACGAGCCACCGTCCGAATCTCTTCTTTTTGTGACAAGTCGTTCGGGCTTAATCTATTCTGCCAGTGTTCTCCAGCTGAGTGCTTGATTGACAGTGTGGTCGGAAATTGACACACAATTTGGCGCCGTCTGGGGGAACGAAAGAAGAATAGATGGCCAACAACGGATAGAAAGAGTAGGTTGGGGACGACACTCCTAATGGGAGTGGGAAACCTGTAGACCTTGACATCGAAGAAGACAACTACAACAAAGAGACTCACGATAAGAATCACGAAGGAAAGGATGTCGGCCAGGAGAGCGACGTACCAAAGAAAACGGACCGGAGCGGCTATTACAACGAGGACGATCTCCAGGTATGGAAAGAAAGATGTCTACGGAGGGACGATGAGGTAAAGGCCATGGTGAACAAATTGGCAGACCTACAAACAGTGGTCAATTTCATGATGCAGAATAACGTCATGCAGCCACCATTCCCACTACAAGATACGCCGATTCCAGCGGCAAATGAGGATGCCCGAAAAAAGGGACAGAAAACAGTCCCTACAGTTCCCCAGCACACGAGGACTGAAAAACACTGTCACCGGCCTTCAAAGGAGGTCGAGCGAGGAGAGTCAAGAAGGGAAGAATCGAAGAGGACGCATCGCACCAAGGAAGCCAAAGAACATCGGCATGTTCAAGGGCAGGAGTTGTACTTCGACGCAACCAATGGAGGGAAGTCCAAAAGGACCCATAATGAAACTGGGAGTAGTGCACCGAAAAGGCTGAAGTTAGGAGATAGTCGAGCTCCTGGACGGACCAAAGAAGATCTAGGGGATCACCTACAGAAGAAGCAACAAGATGCTGAGGTAATCTCCCCGGTCAAGCCGAGAACAGCGTTCTCGGTAGAATTGGACAAATTCGAAGCCCCGAAGAGGTTTAGCATGCCGAGATTCCAGATCTACGACGGTAAGTCGGACCCCAACTTTCAGGTTGGCTTGTACCTAAACTCGATGGCGTTGTACACCGGGAACAAGCCGTTGCTCTGCAAGGTGTTCCCCTCATCCTTCGGAGAAATTGCATCGAACTGGTTTCACAAGTTGCCGAAAGGAATTGTGAAAACCTGGGAAGGCCTGGCCGAGATGTTTGTGGCCAAGTTCGTGACAAACAAGCTACAGCCATTGAGGGTGGACGCCCTAATGGCCCTGAAGATCGGCGAGGATGAAAGCCTTAGGGCCTATGCCAAAAGGTATTATGAGGTATTCAACCGAATACCAGGATGCAACCAAGAGGTGGCGGTCGTGTCGTTTAAAAACGGCTTGAAAGATGACTGCCTGCTTCGAAAATCATTGGCAAAGACATTGCCAAAAAGCATGGAGGAGCTGATGGCCAAGATAGAAAAGTATGCCAGAACTGAGGAGGACACGCAGAGGACAAAGGCGTCCAAACAAGAGAAGAAAAATGGTTCGCCGAAGCGAAGCCGAGATAACACTAGATACGAGAAGACAAGAGCTCAGCCCAAGTGAGTAGATCCCGGATTCCAGATCTCGGATTCCAGATCCCAGAAGACAAGACCTCGGCCTAGATGATTAAATCCGAGAAGAGAAGAGCTTGGCCTGAGTTAAAGAATTTTTAGATATGATCCACAAAGGAGTATGTGGAAGCCATGCAGGGGGCAGATCCCTTGCCCATAGAGTAATATCGTAGGGATTCTTTTGGCCTTACATGCAAAAGGAAGCTGAAGCCTATATAAAAAAAGCATGAAAATGCTTTGAAATCCACTTGCAACGTGCGATAGAACAGCAATTTGGCTGGGGGCATACCAGCAACAACTTGTTAGGGCTTACAACAAGAAGGTCAGCCCAATAGAGTTCAAAGTTAGAGACCTCAGCCTAAGAAAGGTTGCTGACAATGGGGCATAATGGCTGAAGCAATAATAAAGTGCTAGTTTGATTTTTGAAATCTATGCGACAGGACCAACCAGTCCTACGACCATGTTTCTGATTGAAACATGACGAATAACTTAGACTTATTATATGGCAGAGTAGAAACTTTACTTGCATATAATAGAGTTAAACTAAGTTGGGTTAACCTGGACTTATCATATCGGCAAAATCAGACACAGATTGGAGCTCAGTGCCTTAGTAAAGAGACCAAGGTTAATAACCTCAGCCAGTCTTTGTTCAAATCTTACCTCGGTGACGAGGTCAAAGCCACGTGCCTAATGAGAACCCAAGTGGAACTTAAGTTCACATTAGGGGGCAAAGGGTTAAGGAATGATGCTTGGGAGTTGAAATTTTCAAGCCGATGACGTGTTTAACACTTGTTGAAATTGAAATTTACAAGTTGAAGTTAAACCGAGGTCGTGTTTAACACTTGTTGAAATTTAAATTTACAAGTTGAAGTTAAACCGAGGTCGTGTTTGACACTTGTTGAAATTGAAATTTACAAGTTGAAGTTAAACCGATAATGTGTTTAACACTTGTTGAAATTGAAATTTACAAGTTGAAGTTAAACCGAGGACGTGTTTAACACTTGTTGAAATTGAAATTTACAAGTTGAAGTTAAATCGAGGTCACGTTTAACGCTTGTTGAAATTTAAGTTTACAAGCTGAAGTAAGCCGAGGTTATGTTAAAAGAAGATTGGTTTAACACTTGTTGAAATTTTGAAAAAAATTTACAAGTTAAGCCAAGGTTATGCTGAAAGAAATATCTACATACTTGCCGAGATTACCATATTACCAAGACTTGGAAGAAATTTGAAGACAGAAGTCTTGCTAAGAGTCAAATATCGAGTTGTAAATTACACTTGTGAAAATATTGAAAATAATATTTTCAAGTGTTAAGCCGAGGCTGAGATAAACCGATTAGTGAGTACAACCGAGGTGATAAACCCCGAGGAGATTGCACAGGTAAGGTGTATTTTGAAGACATGCAAATTATTTTAAGTATAGAATCATACAAGAGTAAAAAGAAGGCACATACAACCACGTTGAAAGAAGAAATTAAAGAATGCATTCAGAAAATGAAAGAAGGCACTTCAGCCTAACATTGAAGAAAGATTGTTTAGATTACAAAAAGGCCGGTGTAAAGTACATCAGTGTCAGACGGTGGTAGTAAGCAAAAAAGTGCAACGAAAGCCTCACTAGAGGGAGAGAGTGAAACTGGCTGCAGAAAGCTTCACAAAAGCAGCAATGGAGAATTTGAGAGAGAAAGTTTGAACAAGAACGAAGATGCAAAAGTAAAAAGACGAAGAGAGAGTTTATTTTGATCAAAAGCATGAAATGACGGCAAAATGGAAATTATGGTGCCTTGGACGACGTACTTGTCAGACAACGCACGCAAAAGTGATGCGACTTCATAGCGCATATCAGGTACGGTCCAGTAGGGGAAAGACGCGTGGTAAAAACGGTTGAAATACTGTGCGCATGCTGGAACTCTTGGAGTTCTTGATTCAATGAAGCAAATACCTCGGCTAGGCAGACGGTTTCGGCTAAGAAACTTGAACGAACTTGGTCATTGGTTCTAAGGCATTGATAAAAGTAGACTATAGGTCTTGGTCATATTGAGCCGACGAATTCTGACTTCGGCAATAGATGATGAAGCGAGCTTAGCCGACGTACTAAATGGAAGAAATGATA